GCCCGGACCCGGCGGTCTGGGCCCGGCAGCGCGGCGCGGCCGAGCGCGGGAGACTTACTTTTGGCTAGCTTCCTCGCCCTCGCCTTGGATCGCATGGTGTCGGCTCGCGGAATCTCCTCCTCCTGGAGTCCAGAAGCAGCTACACACTATCTTCATCTCCACAGCATTGTCAGTTTGGACACCTTCGCACATGCGCACAGAGCACTCAATCTGACACCCCTCGCCGGGGCCAAAAAAACTTTGCAATGTATTCATCATCCTCATCGTCGCGCCGCCGCCGCCGCCGCCGCCGCCTCGGCGCGGGATTGGGGGGCTCTCTTCGGCCTTCTCGGTCTTCGTCTCACTTATCTCTCCCCCCTCCCCCCCTTTTCAGCGCAGCTCGTAACTGGCCCTTTAAGAAAACATTCCCCGCTCGGCGCTCCCGCCCGGGGCCCGCACCCCGGACCCTTTAAAAGGACCCAGGTGGCCCCGGAGGGAAGATGACCATCCCCCCACCCTGCCCCAGCGTCTCCTTGCGCGGCTGCTTCTGTCCCAGTCCGGGCGACGATGGAGTGGTGGCTGCGGTTTTCCACGCGACTTCCTTGGATCTCCCAGCAAACGCGCCGATAGTTCGGACACGGGTCCAGACTGGCTTTTCTCCGTTTTACTGCATTTTATTACTAATTAAAAAGCTTTGCGTTCACTGTCGCCCCGGCCCGCTTTTCTCCTGAACTCTTTCCCTCGGCCCCCGCCCCCTCCCTCGCCTTGCGATCGCTGGCAGGGTTGTCCCGGCCCTAGCGCCGGAACCCGGCTCCTCCGAAGCCCCCTCCGGGCCCCGCCGCACCCCTCGGGCCTCTCGGCCCCCGCCTCCTCCTCTTCGCCCCCACCCAACGGCTGCTGCATCGGGCTTCGCGGCTCAAAAACAACAGCGGAGGCGCCGCCAGCTCCGCGCTCCGCCACTGCCCAGGCCGGCGGACGGCACTCGGACCGCCGCCCTCGGTCCCGCGCGGAGCTGCGGAAGGAAGCGCGCCTTGCAGTGGGGGCAGCGCAGGGGCAGCCGTCCGGACACCATGCGTCCTCCGCTGGGCGTCCCAGGACGCCAGCACCTCTACGCCTTGGGGGCGGGCGCGCTCCCTGCTGCCTCCGCGCCCCCGCCCGGCTGCCGCCGCGCCCCCCAGGTGAGTACCCGGGTGTGCGAGGGCCAGAGCTGGGCCACTCTCGGAGACCAGGGGCCTCTGGGGACACTCCCCTCTGGCCTCTCGGGGCCCAGGTGCGGAGTGGGCGGGAGAGCTGGCGTTGCAGGTGGAGGAGCGCGGCAGGAGCTGCTCGGGAGCTTCCTGCGGCCCTGCTGCCCTCAACTCTCGGGTGCGGCAGGAAAGGGGGCCTAGTGGGGTGAGTGAAAATTCCGCACTTGAATATGTAGAATTCGAGAATGAATTGGAAGTAAACGGAGGCGCTGCCCTGGCTGGGTCCCTGCCCCGCGCCCTTCACGAGCACGGAGGTATTGACCCGCAGGAGGACTTGGAGCTGCCACAGCGTCAGCCTGAGCCCCGAGCAGGGGTCGAGCCCAGGGTGCAGGGTCTCTGCCTCCCGGGGAGGCTCCTGGCCGTGCCCCCCCTCCCCTTTGTTGTGCGCTGGAACCTGTAGCGGCTCCGCGGAGACCTGCACGCGGAACTCCGCGCCTATATGTTAAAAACGGTGAAATGCAGCGGCCCGGGAGAAAACCCGCGAGATCCGGGCGTCCCGGCAGAGGCGCCCCGATAGGGAGGAGCTCAGGGCCGACGCTACCCCAGAGGAGAAGCCCAGTGGAGCCGGTCTTGGCTTGAGCCAGCGGTGGCGGTGTGCGGGGCCTTCCCTTTTGAGCCACCAAGATCCGCAGCTGCTTCTCTGACCGGATTCGAACCCCGATACGGCTCCTCCTGCTCGAGAAAGCTCAGTTGCGCACCCTGCTCGCCACCAGGACGGAGGATATGCCCAATAGCCGCAACCTCCGCTGTTTCCCGGGTGAGTGTCCCCGCGGAGGGGCCAAGCACACTGGGGACACGGCCCCACTACCGCGCCAGCCCCGTTACCCACCCTTCCCGACCTGAGCTATCATTCCCCAGGGGCATGACTGCGCACAGAACCGCACAGTTTACAGGGCCCAGATCTGGAGGTTTTGATGGTTTGTCTGGTAGCAAACTAGGGCACACCTGCAGCCCACGGCTGGCCCCACCTGGCTCTGAACCTGCTCACTCAGGTTGGGGTGGGGGTGCTGGAGCCTAGGAACATAGGAGCTGCCCTGCCTAACGCCAGTGCTCCAGGTGGTGGGCCCAGTCTGGCAAGGGCTGCTGGGCAGAAGGAACTCAAGGTCATCCTATACCTCTGTGCCCCAGGGCCCCCTGGCTCTTGTCTGGAGCTTCCCAAGAGGGTTAATATAAGGTGCAGAGAGGCAACACTTGAGTTTGTGAAGTAGCCCCCTGCAGAGAGGGCCCTTTCCCTGACCCTAGTCCTGTGCCCAAGACTGGCCTCCATTTCCTCTGTGCTGGAGGCAGCCAGAAGCTTCTAGGTTGCGAAGGCCCAGACTTCTGGGGCACCTAGCTCACTCAGGCTTCTTCCCTACCCCCTTTCCCGGCTCAGGTACAAATTCTCAGAACCTGGGCAGGGACAGGCCAAGACAGATATCACAGAGGGCCTAGAAAAGACCAGGGAGTGAGCATAGCTCCGTTGTCTCTTCCTTGCCCACTGCCAGGGCCACTGTGGTGTGGACAGGGGCACTGCTGCTCTGGGTTTGTGTGCAGAGGGGTATCTGGGGGTCAAGGCTGACCAGGGAAACAGCTGAGTTGCCTAGACCCCAAGGTGCTGCAGGCCCCAAGCAGGCTGTCCCCAAGGCCTTGGCCCTGCCTGAGGTTGGGTCCTGGCCTGGCCAGGCCCTGCCCCCGCGTGGCCAGACTTAGAAGCAGAGAGCAGGGCAGGCATGGAGGCATACTGCACAGAGGGAAGGTCAGACAGACCCCTGTCCTTCTTGGAGCCCTGTTCTGTGTCCTTGCCTGGCAAAAAAAAAGACTTTTAGAGACTTGAAGGAACAAGCATGAGAAAGCGGGGGCCCCATGGGAAGTTTTCAGGGCTGATGCCAAGGCTCAGGGAGCCTGAACTGGGGTGACATGGTGCCCAACTTCCACTGACCTCCCTGGGTTGTCTCAGGACAATGAGCATGGTTTGGCCGAATAGAAGCCCACTGTACCAGAGTTTCAGAACCAACTTCATTGCTGGGGGGTGAAGGCCAGAGCAAGTTCTGCTGGGCCCGGGGTACAACGCGAGTCCTGAGCACCCAGTGTTTCCAGAGACCAGAGACTCATGATCAGATTAGCTCCTTTGGCAAAAGGCCAGAGCTAAGAATGAGAAGAGCTGGTCCTACAGGGCTACACAGTGAGTAAGGAGATCCCAAGCCCCAGGGGTCCCCCAGAAATCCATGAGTAGTAAAACCACGCTGACCTACCCTGCACTCCCAGGGTCCACAAACGCACTCCAGAGCTAGAGGGTCCCTTTTGCTTAGCCAGGCCCTCCACCCCAAACCAACTGGTGGTCTTCATGCAAGGAGATTTCAGGTCAGAGCCTCCAGCCACCCTGCCCAGGCCTTCAGGCCCTAAGGAGCCCCAGCTGCCCCCTGTGTGGGAGGGAGGTGGGAAGGTGGAAAGTGTACAGACTCATTTTCTTTCTCCATGGTAGTTTCAGATATCCCCCCACCCCCCGTGGTTCTGTGGATTCCAGATCAGGTTTTGCTCACCACCACCACTGGTCCTCAGTCCCCACAGAAAAACTCTGGTCGGCATAGAGAATAAAAGCTTGTCTCCCCTGGTGTAGGAACGGGCTTTCCTCAGAAATCTGGAACTATCCCTCACCACCACCACCACCACCCCAACACCTGAGTCAGGTCAGCAGGAGGCTCTTGCTCCCTGGGCACATATTCTCCTAACCAGACCTGGTGAGAATGTCTCCTAGACTTGAGCAACTACAGGCTGGGGACCACTGGAGTCTAGAGGTGAGGTGATTTGGTCCCACTAGGGAGGGGAAGTGAAGGTTGTCTCTTGGACACCCAGCGGGGGACTGGATGGGGGCTGAATGCAGATGCCTTCAGCTTGAGGTGAGAAGCTGGCCCCTCCTGAGAAGCCATTTCTGACCCATGCAAGCTTCTGAAGTGACCCAAAAGGGTAACTTCCCCAGCCCCAGGTCTCCACTCCAAACCGGGGCTTCAGGAGCTCCCTGGCTTTGGTCAATATTTCAGATCCTCTTTTGACCCTCTTCCCATCCCAAGACAGGAGAACCTTGCTGTGACTCAGATGGCTTTGACAGGACAGGACAGGACACAGGTCTCAGTTGCTGATCCTGTGAGCTTAGAAGCCTGGTGGGAAGCTGTTCCCTGCTGTGTCCAGTCTGAGGTGGGGCCTCCCAGCACCAACACAGTTCTAGGACCCAGAATAGGTCGCCGGGAGGGGTGGGGACAGTCCCAACCAAGACTTCCTAGGAATTTGAGCCATGTCGGTAATTTTGAAAAAAACCCAGATGTTTGGAAATTGACTCTTTCGAATGCAGGAAGGCAGTTGTGCCTGCAGTCGGGCAGCCTCCTCTGGGAAGGGCCCGGGTGCTGTGGCTGCCAGATCGCTGGGCAGAATCCCCTCCGCCTGGTTTTGTGTCTGGAGTCCCCGCCAGGGTGCCAGGCCCTCCAGAGAAGATGCCGGCATGCCAGTGGTCCTGGGTGCTGCAGCCAAGTGCACTTTGGGGACCCAATCTGCAGTTTTTTGTTTTGCTTTGTTTTAAGAGATTTCGACTGAATCCGAAGCGCCCCGACCTCCCTCGTTTGACCCTATCCAGGCCCAACTGGGCTCTCCAAGAAGTTTCAGGAAGCCTCCAACGACTCCTTTCCCCCCAATCCCCCGCCACGACTTAGTGGATCAGGCGAAGTCGCGGGGCTCTGTCGACCGCCCGCAGACTCCAGCCACCGGGAGCAATAAACGGAATCCGCTTCCCACGCCTTCCCTCTCGATCTCCGGATCTTTAAAAATCCGCCAACGAATCCCGATGTCAGGTTTGCGCTGCGTGTACTCCTGAGCCACGTGCCGACCCGCGCCCCGCAGCCGAGAAGCTGGCGGTCGGCTCCCGCGCCGCAGCCCCAGCCACCCGCCCACACACCCCACGAGCAATTTCGTTCCCCGGA